GACAAATATAATGCATAGGAAATCAGACACCTGGATTACATTCCCTATTCTTTTCACACCTCTATCTATAAAAGGCAGGATGTATGTATGTGTGTGTGTGTGTGTGTGTGTGTGTGTGTGTGTGTGTGTGTGTGTGTGTGTGTGTGTGTGACGAATGCACGGCTGCAATTATGGATTTGCACCAAAGTTTACATGCACATGCTTCAAGTTAGCGGGAAAGCCAAGATTGACTTTGCATTTCCCAACTCCCATCGATAGTGAAAATAATCGAATTTTTCATGCTTCTACGTCATTTTCATGTAGTTTGCGGCCATTTTGTACTGGCCAGAGTGAGAACCTATAGCTGGCTGCCACGAATAGGCAGGAAGATTCTATTGGCCAGCGTGAGAGCCAACAGCTGACTGACATGAATGTTAACTAGCATGCAAAAAATCGATAGCTGCATTCGTCACAAGTGGGAAAAATTTAAATCTGCATGGCACTTTAATCCACGTGAATCATTCGCTTGCTTAAACTCAACGTTGATTCTGATTCCGCACAACTGGGTTGGGTTTGAAAAAGTATTTGTTAACATTCTTTTTTCATTCGATTTTTCCAGTTACGAGTCCTTTTTTAAAGCTGATCGTTTTGTGTTCATTTTGTTTAGTTCTTTTTTCGTAACAGATTTAATGTTTAGTATAGAGCTTAGAAAAAATTCGCAGTGTGAGATAGGCAAGAAATAAGGCATATAGCAACATCAGCACAGCAAAGGGAACTCATTTCAATGGAAAGGAAGGGCAAAAATATTTTAAGTCAAATGATAGCGATTGCTGTATGAGTCGAACGATTTTTGAATCAAGCACGGGCAATGCCGGGCCATGCTGCTAGTATCAAATATGTAACAGGTCAAGAAAATATAGTGGCAGATGCACTATCACATGACACAACTGCTTCTTTAGATTCTAGTTCTTTGAACCTCGAATGAATTGCTAAAGAACAGACCACAGACACTTCATTACAAGAAGTAAAACAAAGCATATCACTAGAATTAGTTGTTCCATTCATTGATACAAAATTTGATTGTGACATTTCATAAACTCAACTATGGCCTTAAATACCACCAAATTTGGGACAGCAAGTATTCTAACATTTCCATAAATTGTCTCACCCAGGAAAATGTGCAAATGTGAAGTTAATTACTGAATGTTTTGTCTGGCCAAATATGTCAACCAACATAAGAAATTGGACAAAATCTTGTTTATCATGCCTGAAGAACAAGATAAATAAGCAAACCAAATTACTCACAGGCACATTCAGTACACCTAATGCAAGATTCATGAACATTAATATTGTAGGACTCTTACCTTGTTCTCAAGGAGATACATATATCCTTACTATCATAGATAGGTTTACTAGTTAACCTGCTGCAATAGCAATCAAAGATCTCACAGCCACAACAATAGCCCAAGATATCCATATAGAATGAATTGTAATAGTTGGAGTACCTTCAGTACTCACAACAGACAGAAGAGTTCAGTTCCAGGCTACATTATTTAGAGAGTTCAATCACTTACTCGGAATTCAACACATAAAAACTACTGCCTAATACCCTTGTGCAAACAGGATGGTAGAACATTTCTACAGACAGTTGAAGGCAATTATAGCAATAAAACAAATCTAATTGTCTAGAAAATTTACAACTGGTACTTTTATCAATCAGAAACATTGTAAAAGAGGATTTGGATGGTACAGCAGCTGAAATGGTTTTTGGTACATCATTGACTCTACCTGGTCAATACTGTGATGACAATATGAACATTTTACCAACAACGTTTCTACAGGAATTGTAACACAGAATGTCATCATTAACCTTTACACTTACACTGAAAGCAAACTAAAATATATACCTACAAAATGACCTTCACACTTGCACATATATATTTATAAAAAATGACGATGTAAAAAAACCTTTATGTTCAAACTTCTCAGGTCCATACCAAGTTATTAACAGAAAGGACAAGTATTTCACTATCATAAAAAAATGGAAAACATGATAATATTGCTATCGATTGGATTAAACCGGTTTATGTCGATAACCAATTCTGACAACAGCAACAAAAAGAAAAACATGAGCATTCAGATTCAAATATCATTCAAAAGATGAATGAACAAACATCAAACAAAACAAATGACACCCACCCAAAGATAATAACACAGAAAAAGGTTACAACAAGATCTGAGAGACATGTGCATTGGCCAAAACATTACAAAACGTACCTGAGATATTAAATTATTGTTTCCTAGATATCATTAGAAATAAATTTAATATAATCTGAAGGGGGCCTTTTGCCATGTCCACTAAAATATCAAATACAATATTTATGAACCAATCACACTCAATAAAGTGCTTACATCTTAAAACAACACACCAATAAAACCATAGAATACTAATAAAAAAGACTGTATCTCCACGTATCTCAACAGCAGGTATTCTCTCTGTAATTATACTTTGGATGAGTCCATCTTATGTAAAAAGGGGAGAGCCCCACAACAGAATACAAATCAGAAAGGTTGTTACCACAAAGCTTTTTAGGGCCAATTAGGAAGGAATAAATAATTTAATTCTGGAGCCAATGTTCTTACAAAAATTTTCCAGAAAAATAGGATACGCCAAAATATTGTGCGAACATAGTAAAAGACATACCACAAACTTTTAGGGCCAATTATGGAAGGATATATAACAAATTAAATAAACTTTTTAATTCTGGAAGGAGCCAATGTTCTTACAAAATGTAACCAATCTAAAAAGGGGACAAACAAAAATATAAACAATAGGTTTTCTGTACTATGGTAACAGAACATGTTTATATTAGTATACTATTAATATGCATATATTAGTATATATGAACTTTTCTAACATTATTCATTTATACAATGACTTATTAAAATTGTAAAATAGATTTTGCATACAGATAGAAAATTGAAAATAACATTACACTCACTTATACACTCACTATATTCTTTTTGACAGATCCACCTCAAGGAAAGCCAAGAATCATTTTGTCCCAGTCTGGAATATGTGCAGGGAAATCTACAGAAATTAAATGTGAATGGAAGGGTGGTTATCCTGAAGCTATTGTAAAACTATCATGTTTTTCTGAAGTCAAGAAAGGACAAAGTTCTGTTAGCATCAAAACAACAGTGCCTCTATTTTGTAATTGTGAAGGAAAGCATATTGGTAAAAAAGATAATGTAACTGAAGAACTGGGTATTCAATGTAAGTAGATGATTTTACTTTATATAATATCTCTATTATGTTTAAAAATTATTATTTAAATTATATCTGTATATTAATATATTATAAATATGCATATATTTTTATATATTATTAATATATATATATATATATATATATATATATATATATATATATATATATATATATATGTGTGTGTGTGTGTGTGTCTGTGTGTGTGTTTACCCTCATTACTCCCCTTTTCATTGTGGGGCACATTTATTTTAAGAGAGAAGAATGAAAACATGTCAGATTTGTTCCTCTTTTCCTTTTATCATTATTGCCATCACTTCTCGCTGTTTTGGTTGAGATCAACGTGTAGTATCTGTCCTTATCAAGGTAATCTGATTTTCTCTCCACTATTTTCCTCCTGTCTTTCTTTCATATTCTCACTGACACCAAGTAATGTTTTTTTCTTACTTTCCACACAATCAAACATGGAATAGTCCATTATTTATGAGGTATTCACAGGACATAACGGTTGTGCTAATTAACAAAGGGAGGGACAACTACAATTACAATAGAATTCCTCAATGGATCTTTAAAGAGAGAGAGAGAGAGAGAGAGAGAGAGGGAATGAAAACCGGTCAGCTGTCTGTTTTGTTCCTCTTTCTCTTTTTTTAAATTATCGTTTACAGTAATAATACTTTTCTTCTTTCTTACATTAAGTTTGTCTCAATAGCAGTCATAAAATTTTGTACTCCAAAAAAAATATTCAAAGTTATTATTATTAAGTTTTTTATTTGATTGTATTCTGAATAAACAATTGGAAATCATTGTAAAAATAAATGTTTTTATCTCCCTGATATCACACATCATGGATATATCTGTTATACATTATTACATACTTTTGTTCATTCTTTTGAACACAATATTTCCAATAATATATTAACTTAAAGCATAATAAACTTTAGAATAATTCTTTCAAAAATTAGGAACTAAATTTTTCATTGAATTAATTATTTTTATATTCATTTTAAATTATATATTTACTTTATTAAGAGAACAAAAGTAATGTATCTGTAAAAAGTGTATCACCAATCTAGAAAGTGTTTGAATTCATTAATTGCTTTCTGTTAATTACAAAGTTTGTCCAACATTATTTTTTAAACAATGAATTGTAATTTCTGTTTGTTAAAATGATTTTAAAATTGAATGATTTTGCATTATTTTAACCAAAAGTTGCATTGTTATTCAACCTAATCCAATTCTAAAATTGAGAAACTAGTCACTTCCTAAATATGGGAAATAGAAAGATAATACTCCTGAAGGTATTTTAATTTTATTCTGTTTTATCTGAAATCAGACAAGGACAAAGTTCTGTTAGTGTTAAAAAATGAGTGTCTTAAGAAAAGGATGAACACTTGAGGCTTGAGCAATATTATCAGCAAAAGATTGAACGCCTCTGTCGGCCAATAACACAAGACATTATGAGTATGAGTAAGACAAGTACCATGGTATATACTCATCACCACATGATGACATGATGTGACATGAGGTCGCCTTTAATGTGGGTCACTCAAGCTTGCGTATCCAGACTAAATTTGGCAAAAACTGTCAAACAAACATCGGTTGTGCTAACATTGGTATTACTACCAATCCACCTCTTTGGTACGGTGATGGGGTACTACCACAAACTAGAACTGGGTACCTATCAATATTTTTTCCTCTACACTCTATATGCTCTTCCTGAAGACCTGAAACTCAACTGAGACGTATCAACAGTATGAGTTGGGAAAGTACCATTGCCGCTATCTTACATAGTGAGCCTATACATAACATCTTATACGCATATGCTAATTAGTGGTAACACTAACCAACCACTATTGCAGAAACTTTCATTGTGATTAAACCTAATTCATTAAAAATTGAGAAATGCGTCTCTTTCCAAATACAGTAAATGGAAAGGTGCTAATCCTAAATGTACTTAAATTTTATCATGTTTTCTGAGATCAGGCAAGGACAAAGTTTTTTATCATAAAAAACAGTGTCTTAAGAAATGAGCTGAATTTGTATTTATTTGCAATGGAACTTATATTAAAATAAGTGACTGTACCAGAAAATATCTGGATATTTATTGTAAGTAGATGATTTTTTTATTCTAGAATAAATTTCTGTTGGGATTAAATAATTTAAAATGATTCCCGAAGACAGAAACTCAACTGAGATTTGTCAGCAGTATGAATAGGAGAGATACCATTGCCACTATCTTACGTAACGAACATATACATATCTTCTCATACACATATGCTAATTAGTGGTAATACTAAACAAACACTACTTCAGAAACTTTCATTGTGATTAAACCTAATCCAATTAAAAAAATGAGAACCTAGTCCCTTTCCAAATATGATAAATGAAAATGTGTTAATATTGAAGGTACTAAAATTTTACCAGGTTTTTCTGGGATTATGTTTTTTTATCATAAAAAGTGTCTTAAGAAATGAGTTGAAATTGTATTTACAATAGAACTTATATTAAAATAAGTGACTCTACCAGAAAATATCTGGATATTTATTGTATGTAGATGATTTATTTTTATTTTGGAATAAACTGTTGTGACTAAATAATAATTTAAAATGATTCCTTGAATTAATTTTATTTCATCTTATTTAACATGTCCAGCACCACGGAACATTAATCAATGTTTTTGCGACATTACCTGTTCCATGTGAAAACACATTGATTATGTAATGTCCCTCCTTTCCCCTTTTCTGAAATTCATAGTGTTATATTAAGTGTTTGGATGCAAGAGAAAGAAAAAAACAAGGATTAGAATTTGAACAATGTTTATTATTAGTATATACATATATCGTGTTGTACAGATATCACAAAATAGGTGGAATGTGCATTTGTTTTGTTGTCTGGATGGTGATCTGAGTTAAGTGGAAAACCGGAAGGTCATAGAGTATGGTCGGGGTATGCATTGGTTATTCTGAGGTGACGGCTTTGGGTTGGCGAGTGATGAGGTTGGTTGGCCTGTTCTGTGGGACGGTCTCATACATGTTGATGGATTGGTGTCACAGTGGTGAGTTGAATGGGTTGCATGCTTGTGAAATCAGAGTCATTTGTTTTGTAGAGTCAGAGTTGCTTGTTTTCAGAGTCGCTGCTTGCAGTGGTAGCTTGGTTGCGGAGTTGGTAGGCCTGTTCTGTGGAACAGGGTCATGGTGGTGGCTGCAAGGTTATGCCTTATACATGTTGGTTTTGGTGAGGGGGTGGAGTTGGGTTGCCTAGGTGTTTTCCTGGAGTGGTTAGCACTGCTACAACTCTATGATGAAACAAGAGTGCAAGCGTGAGTAGCCAAGAGAAGTCATGAATATGACTTTGTTGATACGGAGGGTGCAAATGTTAAGAATTGGGACATGACATGAATCTGACTTTGCCAATGCATAAGGTGTGAGCGTTAAGAGTCGGGAGAAGTCACAAATTTGACTTTGCTGATGCAAAGGATGTGAGTTTTATGAGTTGAGAGAAGTCATGAATATGACTTTGCCAATACAGAGAATGTGAGTGTTATGAGTCAGGACAAATCACGAATCTGACTTTGTCAATACAGAAGATGCGAGCGCTATGAGTCAGGAGAAGTCATGAATCTGGCCGATGCAGAGGATGTGATCATTATGAGTTGGAAGAGGAGGTATTGTCATGCTGAAGCCAGAAAGCCGAGGTAGCCATTGAAGCCTTGAACTGGCAGCAGAAAGGAGTGGTAACATTGAGAGGTGGCAGTGAATGGCAGTAGCAGTGGTGGTGGCAGCAGCAGCGCCCCCTGAGACAATCACCCTGGTTGTTTTCAGACATCTGCTTTTAAGCAGATCTTATTGTCCCCAGAGGCATCTTTTTTTCGTAATTGGCCACTGCCAGAGCTCGCTTCGAAGATCAGACATGATGTGTGGAGCCTATGACTTTTTTATTTCATTCTCTCCCTTCATGGCGTTAACATCCAGTTAGCATGCAGAAAAAGACCTAATTGCAACAGAGTATAACAACACCTTGTCTTCATTTTATCCTCTCCCCTATATTTTGACTAATTCCTGCTTTCTGTTTAGTTTCTGGGCAATCAGATCACCGAACAAACAAACGAAAACAATTCATTTTTAAGGTGTTCATTGGGATGAAATCAAATTCCAAATTTGTGAATTCCAAATATGGTAAATATGAAAAGGTAAATTTATATTTAAGATGTAACCTTTTGATGAAAAAAGTTGAAACTACAGATATAACAATCCTTCAAAGAAAAACACTGATGTTGTTACTTCAGCATCTCAAATTCTACTAAGGTAAAAAGTGGTTGGTCTTGTTAAAATTAAAGTAATTCCATTTCTAAATATCCAGAAGAGTTGGACAAAAATATTACTGAACAATCCTCAAACACATTCAAAAATCATTACCCAAACACTTAGAAATTATTCAACAATTCACTATTAAGCAGAATGTATTTTTAAACCACGAGCAAGTTATGGCAATTTTCCTGAGAGTACCATAGATATGACACAAGGCCTTAAAGTATGAGGCACCCAGTGAGGATCGAATTCAATACTCAGTTGTAGTTGTTCTAATGAGACAATCTTACCAAGCATTACACCATGGCAAGGTGACTTAACAATAGCAAGTTATGAAGCAAAAAAAAGATTAGTGTTTGTTAAGATAATTTTTAACAAAAATCCGTTTTTAATTACGTTTTTGTCAGTCACACAAAAGGACTATAACAGAATATCCAAATTCTGACAGCCTGACATATGTTCTTTCCAGAATCTTGTTGCATAACCGTTTTTGGATGATGATGAACATGTGTATTTATCTTTTAAAATTATTTTTTAATAAAAACCACAATAATAAAATCGTATAAGAAAAAATAATTTAAATGTTAGAACTGTGTAAACATTTTGCAGATATTTGGAGTTTTTTGGATGAAGAGGAACATGTATATCTATCTCTTCTTTATGTATCTTTATGCAGACTTTTCATGGATCTTTTATCATTTATACATCTTTTTTTTCTGGCATTAATTTAAGTCACTCTCTAGCATATCTTCCCTTTATCAATGAAAATATCATCAAGTAATTGCCTTCAATGATTTTCTATTCTCTTTTTTTACAGATCCTCCCAATAAAGTAACAATCAGTCAGACATCATATCTTGAAGGGCAAACTGCATCTTTAATTTGTGTGGCATCAGGTGGTAATCCTGAAGTTTACAATTACACATGGTCACCTGACAATTATCCTCCTGCAAATGTAATTAAAATAAACTTAACTCGAGCCTTGAACAAAAAAACATTTACTTGTAATGGGCATCATAAATGTAAGGGAGGTAATCCTGTATCTTCAACCATTAAACTCAATGTAGAATGTAAGTTTTACTTTGGCAAATACAATTCATTTGTTTTAACATTGATATTTTGCATGATGAAAAATTATTTGAATACAAAATTTATAATTATTCATTTTTAATGCCTTTCATTTCAGAAAATATTTTGATAATAGGATCGTGTGTAAGGATTAGATGAACATGGAAAATATTTTTATTCTAATAATTTTACATATATCCCCTAATAAATCAAAGGTTTGTGGAATATGGTCTGTGATCTTAGATTTGTAGCAGAATGAAGAAAAATTCCAGTGTGGTAGAGAGAATGAAATATCAAGCAAAAAATTTTTTTTCCTTCAGTCAAAAAAGTCATTTTTGGGTGACAATATCCAAATGCATGAAAAGGAATGAATATTTAGCACCTCCTCTCTCTGATGTTAACTGATATACTGTATGGCTAGTTGTATTTTAATAGTAAAAGCCATATAATTTTGATGTTCATATTAGTCATTTACAAGATGATGTGCTTTGCCTTCATTTGACTATGTGTAATACTGATATGTTCTTTTGCAAACACTATGACACTCAAACACACTGAAATTTTTGTATTGGAGCTTCCAGTGCAAATGCCAAGCAGTACAGTATACCGTTTCCAAATTTATGATGGAGTGAATTGCGTTAAGGTTATCTTTTTCTCACAGTTGGTATCCAACTAACACTGATATACTGTGCAGTCAACAAAATCAAAAACAAACAACACACAAAATATAAAATGGCGACATCCTGTAAACGTTAGCCGTGCTTCTGTTGCTAAAAGTTTGATTTTTTTTATTATGAAAATCAAATTAATACATCTGAGATCCATTCATTTCATCTTTATTCTTTTATTTGAAAATAATATAAACATTATCACTGAATATATCAGATGAAATGTTATTAATTGATTAATTTTTGTTTATTTTATTTTCAACAAGTGCAATCAACTCCTACACAAATTATAAGCACATCTCTTTTCATTGAACACATTTTGTTTCTTTTTTCTTTTCAAACATTTTACTCCAAGCAAGATGCAAGTGGTTACTGAGGATGAAAGGCAATAGAATAAAGAAAGGACAATAAGAGAATAGAATTGAAGGAGACAGAAGCTGACAATTGATGTTGCATTTAAATTTTTTGCACATTGTAATTGATAGAAAGCAAAAAGCTGAAAAACACTTCCACAGGCAAGAAGTGTTAGAGAAGAAACTATTACAGTAGTACTTATGATTACATTTAGTAATTTCAAAAGTAAAATGATGAGACTAGCTACCAATCTAGTACTAAAGTCATGAATTTAATTTAAGGTACCTGTAATTGTCTTTGCCTCTTGCAGGCACAATACCAAAACTTCTTCTTTGGATTTTCTCCAGAGTCTCAAGATTTATAACAGATGCACCAGATGAGATGTGCTAAAAATTGCGATGAGTATTCGTTGAATTTACAAAATTAAAATATACGTATCCTACACATCGTAATAGGATATTCAGTAATATTTACCACTTCACCAAAGAGATGTCATATTTGCAGGACTGCAGAGAATTAACCAGGCAAAGTTATTCAAAAATTAATCTACAAAATATTCAACGGAGTACAGCAAAATGGAAGAACTAAAAGCTATCATGATTCAAATGTTGGCACTACAAAAGCAATAAGAACAACAGTTGCAGCAACAAAAACTACAACAAGGACAACAATTGCAGCAGCAAAGACAAGTTACAGCAACAAAAACTACAATAAGAACATGAAAGACAACATGAACAGCAATTACAACAACAACAGAAATTTTTGAATTATTTACTGAAACTACGGAAGAAAAGACTACAGATTCATTTACTCCAGATGCTGTTGCTAATTGAATTAGCGAATTTGTATACAATTCAGACAAAGGGATAACTTTTCCAGCTTATTATAGAAGATAAGAAGGGATCTTCAAAAGGGATTGTTCATATTGGAATGATGAAAAGAAAGTTTGATTACTATTAAGAAAATTGTCCCCTGCTGAACATGAAAAATATGTGAGTTATATTTTGCCAAAAAAAAAAAAAAAAAAAAAACAGGTGAGATAAACTTTGATGAAACTGCTGTAATACTATCAAAAATTTTTGGTGATAGGAGCTCATTATTTAATGCACGATGACAATGTTTTAACTTAGTAAATGGTGACGATGAAGATTTAGTCACTTTTGCAGGAGTTGTGAATCAAGAATGTTAGAATTAACTCTGGACTTACTTAAATAATTAATATTTGTACAGGGTTTAACTTCTAATAAGAACATGGAAATAAGATCCCGGATATTTGCTAAATTAGAAATGGATCCAAAATTTACTCTCCAGAAAATAGGAGAAGAGTGTCAACATATTGTAAATCTAAAACTCAATACTGCATGCATATTTAGATGATGTACTTATTAAAAGTGAGACCCGAAAGCAACATATGGGAGGTGTAAAAATTATTTGAGAGAATTAAAGAATATGGTTTTAAGATAATTGAAGGAAAATGCAAATTGTTTATGACCAGACTTAAATATCTAGGACAAATTATTGATGAAAACAGTAGATGACTGGAACCTTCAATGGCGAACGCAATAAAAGACATGACCGCACCAACAAATGTAACAAAGTTACAAGCATTTTTAGTGTTTGCTAATTATTATCATATATATTTACCAAACATGCATGAATTAAGAGCACCCTTGAAAAACCTGCTAAAGAAAGATGTGAAATGGAATTGGTCAAAGTACTTTTGAAGAGATCAAGAAAGTCTTAACATCAGATTTGTCACTAGCTCATTTTGACCCTAAATTAAAGATTGTGGTGGCATCAAGTGATTTGAATATTGGCATGGTGATACTACACAATTGAAAAACTAAACAAATAGCTCATGCTTCAAGATCATTGGTTGCAACTGAAAAAGCTAGTCAGATAGAAAAGGAAGCACTGGCTATCATATTTGCTATGAAAAAGTTTCATAAATTCATACATGGTAGAGAATTCATACTAGACAGACCATCAACTATTATTGTCCATATATGGATCAAAAAATGGTGTTCCCACACATACAGCAAATAGACTGCAGCACTGGGGAATTATCCTATTGAACTATAATTATAAAATGGAGTTTCTCCCATCCAAAAAATTAGATTATCTAGACTAATACCAAAATTCTGTGAACCACTTGAGGGCACAGTAATTGCAGTGATAAGGGCCGAAAATGAAATGAATAATGTATTATACAATACTGTAAGAGAACTGCCGATAAAATTGGAGGAAATAAGAATTAAGTCAGAAAAAATGACTTTATAATGAAAATGAAGAAGTAATTAAGATTTAAAGGAAAAAATGTAACTGGAAATAATGCATTTTCATTATGTAATGATGTACTTCTGTATGCAGAAAGAATTGTGATACCAGCATCATTGCAAAAATTTATACTAAAAGAATTTCACATAGGGCATCCAGGAATTTTTAGAATGAAATCTTTAATGAGGTGTTACATTTATTGGTCAAAAATGGATCAAGATATTGTAAATTTAGTGAAATCATGCAGAGGTTGTGCTCTGGCCTATGAAAAATTTAACCTTAACTGAAAACCAATATGCTATGGCCCAGAATACATATAAACTTTGCTGGACCGTTAAACAGAGCATACTATTTTGTGGTAGTCAATAGTTACACTAAATAGCCAGAAATATTAAAATGTAGAAGACCGACTACCGCGGTAACGATAAATTTCCTACACAAGATTTTTGCAAGGTTTGGTCTTCCTGACTATATCGTTTCAGATAACGGGACACAATTCACATCTAGTGAATTTAAGGTTTTTTGTAAATCATTAGCAATAAAACATATTACAACACCCCCTTATCATCCAAAAGCAAACAGACAAGTGGAACGGTTTGTCAATACTTTTAAAAGTCAGAAGGAGAGGAGTCAGATGAAGTAATGCTACAACAATTTCTGAATGTTTTCAGAATAACATCAAACTTGAACACCATGTCTGGAATGTCGTGTGCAGAGTTGATGTTTGCCAGGAAGATTAAGTCAGTTTTTAATAAATTATTACCAGAATGCGAGGCGAGAACATCAAGAAATAATTATATAAGTAAATACTTCAAACCTGGAGATAAGGTACTGTTTAAAATGTACCAACATGGAAAAGAATTCTGGGAAGATGGCATTATAAAAAAACAGTTTGGCAAAATGGCATACATGTTACAGGTACAAAGGTGGCAATATAAGCAACACCTTATCAGTTAAAACGAAAATTCATTGATTTAAAAAGTCTCCAAAAAGGGGTACCTTTTTGGAAATTTTGTATGAAACCTTTGACGTACCCACGGCATTAGAAATTGTTGAACCAAGGTTTTATGGTAAGAGAAAAAGAATAGCAACAGAATTTCTAAATACTGAAGTTAAAGAAATAAAGACTCCAGAAGAAGTCACCTCAAAGGGGAGGTGCCATATAGGAATAAAGTGTCACTGCCAACATTTGAATTTGAACACAGAGCACCAGAGAGCAAGTACAGTCGACCTCATCTTGAAATGATTAGATCATGTGATGTGTAAAGGAAAATATATATATATATATATTGGAATTAGCAGCATCTGACCCAGTGTTGTTCGAAGGCATTACTATCATTGTATCTTTGATTTACAAAGCCTCTCCTACAAACGTGCATTACAAAACAATGATTGTGATTTTTATTTCTATTAGAAATAAGCCTTCCCTACAGTTAGTTCCATATTATGTTCATTATCTCCACTTATTATAAATACAAATAAAGTGACTTATCACATTAATCCTTAGAGAATGTAAGCATAGAAATTCAGTTTTCAAAAACCTTCTGACCTTTTCCATTTCATTCATAAATCTCAAGATGATCTTTATCCTTTATTTATATTTTCAGATTATCCCATCATAAATACAATTGATAATATGACAGTGATTGAAAATAAAACAAATGAATTTAGTTGTCTGGCAGAAGGTAATCCCAAACCAACAATAACATGGAAAATTAGAAACCAGATTTACAAGTCTAAGCTGTTGCAAGTTTCTTTTACTCGTTCTAATGTAAGTAAAGTTCAATGTATTGCAACAGCTAACAGCTCCCAAGATGGCATTTTGAAAAGTTCTAAAAACATTTCCATTTTTGTCACATGTAAGTATTTTTCTCATAAATTAACTGCTATTTTTTGTTTTTTATATTAGTTAAAACAGTTCTCTTTTAGCCAACAGATGATTGGCTGATGACAGAAGTCAAATGATTGACTGATGATAATTTTATAAAATAAAAATACAGAAAGTAAAGAAGAAAATTGCTTTACTTTTTAATCACCCAATCCTTTAAGATGGAAATCTTTTTTACTCTTAATTGCTCCACTAACTATAAATTCATTTTTATTTTATTCAACAAATTTTGAAAACATAATTTTATTGACAATTTAATGATCTGCACTTATGCATCTGGAGACACAGTGAAGTAATGTATTGCAGTTCAGATTGAGGAATCGGAGAGCCAAATTCAAAATCAAGTTGAATTCATTATATTCACTTCTGTGCAAATACCCTTAGAAAAGATGTGAATCCATCTTTTCTCTCCCCTCCCTGATTAATATGGGCAAATAACAGGACAGACTGTGTTCTATAGGTTTGGGTGGTCTAAAAGAAGGAGAACTCTGAATTCAAACCATCCTAGAGAGGGTTGAGCTTTGTCAGACTATCTTACCCAAGACACACATACTTCTACTGTGGCTGCCATACATGTGGTACCCCTATGACTCTAAGAAGTTACAGAACTCATGATCATGACTTATGTATTCCTGTATTTTGATGTGTGTGTTTGCATACACCTAAAATGTGATTATTTTATCATTTTTTATATAATCATATAATAATCAATGATTATTTTATCATACTTTTTATTCACAAATTCTTTTCTCTTTCCAGATCCACCAGAAATTAAAATTCATCATAAGGTCACCAGTTTAAATGAACAAGCAGAAATCAGTTGCACAGCTGAAGCCAGACCAAATAATATTCAATACAAAATAATACAAAAATGGGGAAACAAAGAAAAAAGAATTATTACTGCAAAAAAAAAGAGTTTCCCAAATTTTTCTTACTATGATTTAGGAAACTGGATATGTCAGGCTAGCAATGATGTACCCTACAAAGGATATTATATACATAAATCTGTGGAAATTCAACTCAATGGTGAATATAAGTTGATTCTTTTTTCATCTAAATCCTAATGAGTTTTTGAAAATCTCAAAATTAGTGATTATTTAATAATTGCCTAAATTGCCTAAAGAAATGTTTTGGGCTTATTTTATTTTGGGGGAAATTTGGAAATTAAACTTAATATTTAGTATATATACATATATAAATTTGATTTTTTTGTGCTTTCTTTATTTTTTAAAATCAATATAAATATTTTTCATTCCTTCTAGCTTGTGGGGAGCCCTCTTCTGTACCCCCATTTTTACGAACTCTGACATCTCAAATTATCACCCCACCTGGTGGATCTAATCAATGCCAAAGTGGTTAAACACCTTACTTCACACAACCTCCTTTCATGCAAAAAATATAGCTTCCATTTTGCCAGGTCTACCACTAATGTGTTAATGACTATCACTGAATTTGTCCATCAAACTCTAGATAAGAATGGCAAAGCATGGGCTGTGGCTCTAGATATCTGGAAGGAGTTCAACAGGGTTTGACATGCAGGCATTCTACACAAGGAAAAGTGTTATGGTGTGACATGAATATTTAGCTTAATCCAGTCATTCCTAATAAATCATGTAATGAAGGTTGTGTTGAATGGGCTAGCTTCCAGATCTTTTCATACAAACATTGGGGAGGTGGGGTCCTCAGAGCTCTATCCTGCGATCTACGTCATTTCTGATCTTCAATAATTTCCTCAATGTCATCAGTTCCCAACATTTATGCAGATGTCACTCCCATTTACTCCTGCCTCAATAGCAAATCCAACAAAGTAAACCTGGCAATGGCTCTTGAAAAGGACCTCCAATCAATGGTTAAATGGGGCAAGAAATGGCTTGTAATGCCTCTAAAACAAAGCTTCTTTCATTTAATCAACACAGAGAACCTTTTTTTTGCCTCCGATCAGCAACACACTATGCCTTCTTGACCACACGTTTTTCACTGACATGAAGTGAAGAAAATATATCGAATCAATTGTTTCATCTACTGCAAGGAAAGATGGTTTACTGTGTTATGCCAACAATTCTTTCTCATCTGAATCCATAGTGAATATTTATAAATCTGTCATTTGTCCATGTATTGAATACAGTGTCTATATCTGGTCTGGTGTTCCTGCTGTACATCTTGAGATTCTTGACAAAATACAATGAAGGATCTGTAATGTAGTTAATCCTGATCAGGCATGTCAACTTCAGTCACTCTCTCTCATTGATGTAATGTGGCTTCCTTCTGTCTTTTCTACAAATATTTTCATGGCATCTCCTCTAATGAACTTTTTTTTCTGTTGCCCAACTAGATGAATTTAAGTGTTTCTAGATTGGTAAATAGGTCCACCACTTTACTGTTCAAATGGCTCTATGCAGCTGCCACTTCTACTCAAAGAATTTATTTTCTAGCAGAAAGAAGACAAGAATAGTATTGCTGATATAGTGAATCAAAGTGAAATGTCTCTATGTGGACAAGAGAAGTTACCTGGAAGATGGGGAGACTCGATAAGACCTCAAGTTCATGTGTGTGTCAGTTGACCAAAGTCACTGGACATTGACACCTTGCCTGCTCACTGCAACTGATGACTGTGTTGCAGGTGTTATGTTGGCCTGCAAACAGATATTGAATGATGATGGACAACAACAAGCAAAATGACAACATGAGTAAAAAAATATATTGCCAAGTTTATTTTCATTAAAGAAAATGCATCAACAAATATAAGGTGATAGTGCACGAGGCAAAAAATATCTATGCATTTTCATGTTGAGAGAGAGAAGAACCTCATCCTGAGAAGGGCAGTTTTGTAGTTGCTGAAGAATGTTATCCTCAAAAGAACAGTTTTGTGGTTGCAGAAAAGGACAGTTTATTGCATATGATTGCTGCTGGCAAGGATAGCTGGTGCTGGAGATTGCTGGAATGGTGACTGATGGCACGCTGGAGCTGCAGACAACAATGGCTGGCATTGTGGGCTGGCAGTTCGCTGCCGGAATAGATCAGTTTTTTAATGATCACTGGTTAAGTTTTTTCTTCTGATTATAATATGTGAAAGTGCCAACAAGATATGACAACTGTATCATGAGTGGTGTTCTTAAAAGCAGACAGGATGGATCAGGATTCAGCATTCCTTGTCATGCATTTTACTTTAGCTGCAACATGCAATTTTGACTCCTTTTATATTTCATATATATATATATATATATATATATATATATATATATATATATATCTTTAGAAAAATTTTTATACTGATAGGAATGTTATGCATTGAATATTGCTATTACATCTGGTCTGGTGCTTCTGCTATATATTTAGAGATTCTTGATAAAATCCATAGTAGAATCTGCAATGTTATCTGCCCTAATGAGGCATCGCATTATATCAGTTATCTGCCCTTGGCAGAGTGAAACATCTTATCCCACTTAGTGATAAATCTTTAGTGGGAAAAGAGAATTCTCTCTCTTTTATTTTCTGGCCCCTACATAAGGCAGAGTGTTATGTTTATTGCTTTTCCAGACTTCACCCTCAGAAGATGTATATTGTCGCAGCTCTTCCCAAACGGTATTCTTCAAATATCACAGAGTTATAAGATTTTTATACCCTTAATTATTGCTTGCCTTTCAGGGACAATTGCAAGAACACTTTTCCTAAAAATAGGGACTTTCAGCTGATATTTCTGTACCCAGTTATATGTATAATTTCATTACTTGGAAGAAAATTAGTAATGATGTTTTCTTGTAACCTAAACTACTTCCCTGTGAATAAATGTTTTTTTTTATTGTAATCAAACTGCCTTTATCTCACATCAGAGATTACTTTATTACAATTTGGGAAAATATCATGAAAACTTATAAGATTTCTTAACGAACATTCTTTAAATATCATGAACAATTTAACATTTACTGAACCTATTATTATGTTTTAAATACATTTAGAAATTATTATTCTTTAAATTGTATATATTTTTATTATAGAAATAAGGTCCAGTCTTTTCTGCATGATAATATATGTTATTTCATTATTGTAAATATTTCACTCTTACAGTCGCAGCACATTTCCAAGGTAATGAAAATGAAACTGGAATTGTTGAATCTGAGAAACTTTTGAAAATCTGTTTTTATTGCAATCCTGATGCTACGGATGTGAAATGGTACAAAGGGAATGAGGAAATGCCATTTGATAGAATTTCTTACATTCCTGCAGAAAATGGATTATTTCCATTTCTTGGTAACTGCAGCATCTTGAAATTGGATATTCAGGAAAAAGAAATCCAGAAGTATTCTTTAAAAGTTATCAATCCAGTTGGAGAAAGGACTTTTGAATTGACTTTAGGTCAGTATGAAAACTGTTATCATAGAATTATTTCAATTTCCAATACAAAAGCAATATATCTTCATGATACAATTCAACTTTGTAGAAATATTTTAAAAATATCTATGATAGATAAAATATTACTATTGATTTATGAAATTTCTTTGCAACAAATATTAACTTTGCATGTAGACTAAAAATCATTCTTTATTCCAAAGTTATGGCAAATTTAAAAAAAAAAGGACTCTTTTCTGTCAATAATTTTTCTGTTCATACTTGCATTTGCATTTCTTGTATTCCTTTTTTATACTTGTTTCAAAATTGTCCTGAGTAGACTTATGCTTTCAAATCAATTCTAGCTGTTGTATAACTTCCAGACATGCATTTAGTGACAAATTATTCAATTTTAATTGTTCCAATACCTTATATTTAGAAGTTATATCAGCAATACCTTCAATCAAATGTAATTGAATCAATTCATCCTCTATAGTCAAATCTTGAGTTCCCAGTTTCTCAGACTCGCAAAATCTGCCTAGCTCTTCATAATCCATGATAGACCCATCTTGTTTCTGTTTAATGGAAAGAAATTTGGTTCTTTCTCCAATGACAAGTTTCTTTCTAGATTGTAAATTTCATTTTATAATTTCCAAAATTTTTGTTGAAAGCCAAATTCTCCAACTCTTTGGGATATTCCATAATAGAAATATTCATTATAGCTTCAGTACCTGCCAAAGTTAGGAAGAGGTCAGTTATTTCATTTTTCTCCCCCTCTTGCCTTGCTGTCTTTCAATTTTTTAGCCCTTGCTTAGGTTGAAAAACACCAGATCCAAGTCTTGACAAATGCTGGTTCGTTCAAGCGACTTAAACATTCTATTGGCATCATCATATTGTTGTATAGTGTTGTTCTATGACAAATGATCATTAGTCAACTTTTCTGTCATCTGACTCTTTACTCTAAACTTTATTTATCCTATGAGTAACATATGAATATAATTAAAATCCTATTTGCCAATACCACTACAATTATTATTGGTTTAAAGATGTTCAAAATATAAAAATCATGTGAAATTGTTTTTTATGTAAATGACATTATTTTTCCCAAATCTTTCCTAATATTTTCTTTTCTTTTTCCAGAGACAGTGAATTCCGATTCACCAGTTAATATAATAGTATCTTCTGTGATTGCAGTAATTATCGTTCTTCTTATTATTATTGGTGGAATTGTTTTTTTCATATTCCGAAGATCATCAAGTAAGTTTAATTTTCTCTACAATCACTGGAATAACTTTATATCTATATATTTAAAACTTTTGCTAAAGTCATGAATAATTACAACTACATTTCTTTCTTCAATGTCTAATACATGTCTTATTTGTTACCAATTCCTCAATAAGTAACCAATTCCATTATTTCAAAGATTGTTGATCTGGCCACTTATGGTGGAACAGAAGTAATATTTGTTTTTGTTTTTTTTATATCTAATTTATTGTGAGGGGAATTTTCAATTATTTTTTTCAGAAAAGACACAAAGCAACAAGTGAGTAATTTTATCTTTCACAAATATTTTTATTTAATAAGCTTCTCCTCATGAGTTACTGATAAAATCCTATTCACAAATTGTCACAAGAAATCAAAAATATTTGAAGATCTAATATATTTTTAAGCACATAGTGTGCATTTCTTATAATACTCTTATTAGAAATTAACTTTTTATTAATAAACATTTATATTAATCTTCAAATAAAGATTTTTAATGAACAATTATAAAAAGAAACATTTTCTATTTGTCCTTCTAACAATCTAATATATTTTTAAGCACATGGAGTGCTTTTCTTGTCAGGCTCTTGTTATTAGATTTTCTGACATTCGGCATGACTCAATATAGCATTTTATCGTTGTTTTTTTTTTTTATCATTTCACCCCTAAGTAAAGCAGTAAAGCCACTAATTAATTGTGCACTTATTAGCTTAAACAAATAGGACTTTCATTAAATCTTTATTTTTCTTAAACATTATTGATCTTTTGTTCCTTGATTTTTTTCCATTTCTTTATTTTCTATTTTTATGTTCAAATATTCTCCATTTATGCATCCCTTCCCAATTCGGTTTCTGGTAAATACTTTTCCAGAAATTGCTTTAAATAGTTTAAGTGAAATTGTATCCTTTTGCCTCACTCCTTTTATAATATTTAGTCTTTGTTAAGTGAAATTATTACAGGACTTTTATAATATTGCTGTATCTTCACCTTTTATTTATTTTAATGAGAACATTTATTCTTTATGTATATGAATCTTTGGAATGAATGTGTTTATTGTGGTTGTTGGTTATCAGTTATGGATGAGTTGTTCATCTTACAACAACATCCGTTCCCACCATAGATTAGTATAATTGATTTAGGTGTATATTGGTCATGTGTAATTATTTTAAAAAATGTTTAGAATGTTGATAAATACAAAATAAAGACAAAAGGTTCAAGTGAAAGAAACTTTTGTACTTGATGATTGGCAAAGTTATGAAACTCTAAGTTGTACTGTAAATGTAGGTTCATGTGTAATTATTAATATATACTTTATAGCTCTGTTTTACTTCATTGAACATTGTTTTGTGTACACCATTGATTAAATAAATAGTTATTTGCTGACCTGTATGTGTACATAATTGCTTATATATATATGGTTGATCTTATCTCTTTATTTAGATCATTTCTACATTTATATCAATCTATCTCTATAGATATATATCCATATTTCTGCAACACTGTTTCCTTATATATTTTTTATTTTATTTTTCATTGTTCCAACTAAAATACATTTGATATTTCAGCATTCCTATAAATAATTTGAGAATGTCAACCGGTAAGTCTTTATTTGTTATTAAATGAAAGCACACAAATTTTAAATTAAATGTTTAGCTTTTTATTTTGATTTTAAATGATTTATATATATATATATATATATATATATATATATATATATATATATATATATATATATATATACATATGAAAGAAAAATGTGACAAATTTGAAAAAGTCTTTGTGACATATCATTTGTTAGGACTTCATTACAATGGGTTTATTCACATTGCTGTGACTACATATGTGAATGACTTAGAGATGGTGGGAGTTTCAAAGTTAAGAAAATCTTTTTTTTTTAATCTAACCAAATTCATCTAGATTCTTTTTCTTTTTGTTTCCATCATCTTTGTTATTAAATATTGTGATAACAAAAAATCTGACAAAAATGGTGAAATGTTATAAGAACATAGATGTAAATTTACTGTGGGTGAATTAGTGATTAAAACACTCTGTAGACATTTTGTCTTAGTGAATTATTTTCTCTTTTAATGAGAGTAACATTTTTTATGTCAACATTGTGGTCAGTTTCATTATGGTGAACAACCAATGCATTATGTGCATTGTTTTTAACCAATCTTTTGTGTTCATATAATCTTTTATTTAAACTTCTTGAGGTTTCTTCTATATACTCTTTCTGACAATCCTTACAAGTGATAGAGTAAATTTCTCTTTCAAGTTTTGGCTTGTTGTTTTGTTTTGTATTGATTAAGTCTTTTATTATTTTAGGTGTAGTTTTGGCAAATTTTATGTTGAGTCTAGATAAATTCTTTTCAATTGTAGTTGTGATAGAATTAGTGGGTAGAATAATATATTTTTTGATTTGTTGAGTTTGTCAGAGACAGGGGCTGTTTTTCTATTTCTATATTGGGACATTAAAACTGGGACTTTAAAAAACTATAAAATGAGCCTTAAGTTAAAAAGAAATATCAATTCATCATATGTTGAAAGCTGTAGTCTTCCCATTCATATAAAGCCAGTTAGTTGATAAGTTGTAGAAAATGGTAGAAGAAGGCATTCTTTAATATGTAGAACCCAAACGTATCAAATGGGCATTGCCTATTGTGCTTTTGAGAAAACCTGATGATGATTTTAGTATCTGCAGAGATTACAAAGTAGGTATAAATCAGAAGATTTATTTAGATTCCTACCCTATTCCAAACATAGAAAACATACTACATTCTCTGGCAGGAATGAAATATCTCATGAAAATTGATTTGTGATGGGATATGAAGTTAATGGCTTTTGATTATGATATAGAATACATGAAGGGAAACACGATACCATGCATATTGTCGTGACCACAATTTGAAAATGAACTAAGTGAAAAACAAAAAAAGTTGAGGATGAATTTTTGCATTGGGTGGAAATGGGTGTGTTGCTCATAATACACTAGTTATGGTAATATTACAAGATCCAATCTTAAGTCAAATTTTATCTAGAATAAGGAACAATAAATGGAGTAATTATTTAAAAGCAGAAAGACCATACAATGAAACCAGACACAAATTATCAATAGAAAATAGTCTAATTTGTAGTGGGGATTTAGTGGTACTACTGGAAAAATATAGAAAAGAATTAATTAAAATTGTATATGATGATGTGCATTGTAGAAAAACCACTACACAGAAACAGTTAAAAATGGAAGCATGGTGGCTGAGATACACACAAGATGTGGAGAAGTATCTACGCAAATGTCTTAAATGTGTCAAAATAAAGAATTTTCACCACAGTAAGTTATATTCTTACCCTAAGGACACAGAACCATGGTCTAGAGTTCATATGAATCATGCAAAAGTTAACAGTGTAGGTTTATGTCTAATACTGGTTGATAATTTTTCAGCCTGGCTTGAAGTTTTCTGAGTTTTGGATAAAAAATTTAGTGCTGTAAAACGAATATTTTCACATAACATTTGCTAGAAATGGTGTACCAAAAACATTAGTAACTGATAAAGCTTCCAGATTCGATGATGATAGTCTGTGCTTGTGGTTAAAGAAGATTGGATGTGTTCCATATAAAACACCTCCTTACTACCCTCAATCGAATGAGATTGAGGAACGAATGGTCCAAATGATAAAGATGTGATTGAAAGCATTTTCCTCTCAGCAAGAAAAGATTGAAAATTTCTTATGAAGATTATTGTTGAGTTACTGAACAATACCACATGCTGACAGATTAAAGAGTCTGTCTGCATAAATGGGCAGTTAGATCAGAGCTCCATTAACCATTAATAAAAACATATGGTGCAAAAGAAATAAAGAAAACTTGCCAGAAAAGGTGAATTTCATAATGCAAAAAGGATCCAAAATGGTATTAATATGCAAGAATGGGAAAAATATTGTTAACCATGCAGACCAGTTAAGACCGAGCCAAAATTAGGAGAAAGTACAAAGCAAAGCTAGTTCAGAGGACTATATAGATGAACATGAAAGCAGGGCAGAATAATCAATGAATGATCAAATTGCTTCAGAAGACCTGGAGTATGAAACAGTGGACACTGAGAATAAAAGAAACAGATAAAGGTCCTCCATAATGAGAAATATTTGGGAAACCAGTGAGAGGGAGGAGGGAATGTAGGAGAAACTGTAGATCCATGAAGGGCATGAAATTCAAAAATTCATGGAGATTTAATGGGATTGGTTTAATTAATAGGTAATTAGCATAAAGAGAGGGTATAACTCTAGCTCAGCAGCAACATTGAATCAGTGAACATAGACTATTTACTGCAACTAACTTTGATTATCATAACAATATTATCTTTAACTAATTTATCTTTTTGATAGAATAATACATGATCTTTGCTGAATTTTAAAGAAAAGATTTATGATCAAATAGATTTTTATATATAAAATGCATCAAGATATTCTTCAGTGACATCATCATATTTACATAAGTTGATAGATGAGGAAGAAATAAGTTTGCAATGAGTAAATTATATTCATTCATTTTATTCATTTATTCTGAAAAAAGAAGATATGAATGGATGCAAATAATGGTGGCTTTTCTTTAGGAATATCAATATTTTATTTTGAATGATATTTTATTCAGAAAATCTTTTTTGTTTTCTCTTAACTTGTGAAATGTTTTATGAAAACAGGGCAAGAGGATGGACATGAACCTTACTATGCTGAAATATCAGACACTTTACCCATGGAAGGTAATTTTCAGTTTTATCATTTATGACTAAAACAATACATGCCTTATAGATTTTTATAAGAAGATATCTTTTCACTGTCGAAACAGTTAAATATAATTGTCTTTTCTACTCAAACAACTTCTTCTCTCACACTTCTCATCTGTGAAACTCCCTTCATCTTACTTGCTTCCCTGATAACTATAATCTTCAAATATCCACATGTAATATCAATTGACATCTTCTGATAATTTAATCTTGGTCCGCGTCCTTCTCTGTATCTGTTATGGGACCTTACCCATAATGATATCAGACACTTTACCCATGGAAGGTAATTTTCAGTTTTATCAATTATGACTAAAACAATACATGCCTTATAGATTGTTATAAGAATCTATCTTTTCATTATTACTTTGTGAAATTGAGCCCTAATCTATGTAAAATTCATGGGTAAACATTCTATCCTTAATTATAATGAAAAGTAGTTGTAGGAGTGTCAATTATATCAAAAGTCCCAGATGAGAGAATAATAAAATTGTATTGATTAAATGATCCTAATTCTTTTTATTCACTTATTCTAATGACTGAGGAAAAATAATGTTGGTTACTAAATACAAACTTCATTCTTATGAAAGTTCAGCTTTGGCTGAAAATCATTTTTAACTGTAACAATAGAAATTAATTTTTAAATTAACATTTTAACTTTTTACTGCCTGTTCAAGGGAAGAGGATGGAGGTGAACTCCTATACATTAACTGGATATACAGTCCACTTGTCAAAAGTAATCCCCAGTTTTATCAGTACAAAATAATATCTGATTCAAAGGTTCTTACAATACAGAGAAAACAATGTCATTTCTTTGTTTATTATGATGAGTAACTGGAACCTGGGGCCAGTAAAATACATGTATAATCATTCGACTCTCACTTATACTGATAATTAGACATTGCAACAGTGTCAACTTCAGCAAAAAGCCTAAATAATGAGTGAGAAATGAATTTAAAATCAGTGCAATGATTCTTTAAACCAGGTGAGTTAGGTTGACAGGAAAGCGAGAAACGGTGACCTAGTGTAGCCAGAAATTCAGGGATGTTGTGAGCAGGTCCATTAACACTGATCAGACATTGCAATAAAATCCACTTCACCAAAACGCCTAAAAGATAAATGTGAAATGAATTTGAAATCAGTAAATGATAGTCATTCAACTTCTTCACTTATTCTGATACATCAAGTAAATAACATTGTATATACAGAACAATATTTTACAAAAGAATCATCAATTTTTATGTGAATTTTAATGCAAGAATGTGAAGAAACTTTTACAGTAAAATTCTACATTTTACTCTATATTCAGGACAAGAGAATGGAAATGAACCTCAATACATTGATTTAACAAGTGGATCACCTGTCACAGGTAATATTCAGCTTTAATAATCATTACTAAATAATAATAGAAAGGAAAGATTTTTTTTTGTTTTCAACTCAAAATAACTGTGAACTGATGCATGTCAAATAATTTGTTAACAATTCCACACTCTCTTATAATGTTCATTAAAAGTTGTAAGAGTCAGCAAAAAGCCAAATGAGTAAGAAATTAATTTTAAATTACTAAATAATCCTAATTCAGTTTACTCACCTATTTTGATGGGCAAAGTAGATACCACAATATGAAAATAGCAGAGCCAAATCTTATGATGGCTTGATGCTTTCCTTGGAACTCATTTTTAATTCTTTGCTCTGCATTTTTTGAGGAATAAACACATAATAATATTTTCCTAAAAAATTCTTGCTTTTTTATTCTCAATTTATTTGCAAAGTGTTTTACTTTATTAATTTCTAAAGAATTAAAAATAAATTTATATAAATGATTTTTCCGATAAACTTGCTAAAACAACTTATAAGCATGGGAATAAATTTTAACAATAATATCCTACTTTTTACTGCATGTTCAGGGAAAGAATATAGAAAGGAACCACAATACATTGATATGACAAACAGACAGCCATCGAGAAATAATCTCCAGTTGTATCTCTATTTACTCAATAATATAAGTTTTATAAATTCACTTAATATCAAAGATATAATTGTTTTTGGTAGTTTGTAACTCTGAGTAACTGTGCACTAAGACATGTAAAATTCATGTCTAACCGTTTTACATTTACTTATCTTGATTTTTTATTATAGAAATTATAAGTGTCCACTTTAATCTGCATAAAGTTTTACAATGACATTTCTTTTTACTTCAAATACAGGGAAAGAAAATGGAAATGAACCACAATACATTAATGCAACAAATATACAAGTGGTCAAAGGTAATATCCAATTTTTTTTTAAATGGTCTTGGTGACATCTCAATATCTGACCGTTTTCCACTGATGTCGGATACTAACCCAGTGAATTGAATGATGGCACCTGGTAGCGAGGACCCTATGATAATATTCAATGTTCTATACCCATTTTCTTTTGATTTATTTTCAAAATGTTTAAACATTTCATTAATCTCCACCCCCAGATTTGAAATAATTGGCTATCGATATATTTTACCAGAAATTTGGTAAAACAATTTACAAAAATATGAATAATTTTTTCTAAATGTTTTGCTGTATCTTCAGGGAAAGTTAATGGAAATGAACCTGTTTACATGAATGTGGCAGACAGATCACCTGTCAAAGGTAATCCCTATTTTATCAATCACTAGCAGCAAAGCCGTGCGTTGCTCAGGAGTAAACTTCCTCTGAATGGCAGGTCATAACCTCCATACTCATTTTGTACATGCATGTAAGGCTGAAGTCTAGTAGAACTGATGGCCACCCACGTAAAAAACATAATGTACACAAGTTGTCGGTATTCATGAGCACAATGGAAGAAAAAATTGTAATGCTTAAAAGGAAGCAATGGACAGCCATGTTAGCATCAGCCGTTTGCCATTACTAAGACACCTCCAATTAAAAATTGTCAAGTTCAATACTAACACAGGCCTTAGGAAGTTTTAAGTGAGTTGTGACAGATGTATTTGTATTCCGATGGAATGGTTTTATTATCCCTGATTATAAGACATTACATGAAGCCCTGTGTCAGTTGCAACGTAGTAAAACGCAATAGAGTGAAAGGTAGACGCATCTTTTGCCCAAAAAACGTCGCTGCCACTACCGCAAACAGAAGCACATAACAGAAGTATAGGAAAGTGCCGGGGCAAGGACTTGTAAGTGGCACAAATTCTTTTATAGTTTTTAATAGCCAGATGAGGTGAGCGTGAAGCACGCGTAGCATTAACTAAAGCAGCCCTTATGGTAAGGGGAGAAACACACCAACGGTGTACGACAGAGAATGCATATTATAAATCTGCATGCTGCTATTATTTTAGTATCCCACTTCTTTTTGCTGAAGCCTGAATTGCGTGGATGCACTCGACCTCTTTGACATTTAAACGAATTCACCTTCCCATGTAATGGTTTTATGTTGCAATTGAATATGGTTACGTCTTTGAAGTGTAATTGCGAATGCAGCTATGGTGGGGTTTAAGTAATAAGGGAGCATCTGGTGAGCAAGACAACCTTTAATGAAATGTCTTAGTAATAACCGGTGGATACTACGAAAACTTTTAAATAAACCGGGTTCAAAAATGAAGGAACCGACGAAACAGCTGACAGAAAGCTGTGTACATTGTGTTTAAATGTGACCGACCATGGGCTATAGAACTTCTGCGTAGGTAATATTTTTAGCTTTGTTTGTTGGAGAATAAAGGTAAATGTTATCCTTACTACCGACTCAGGAGGAGCCTACTTAAAGCTGTCCATGGCCGAAACGCTGTTCAGCTAAATGCAGACCCGCGACGATGAGCGTCTCTCCTTGCAATTTGGCCATTGTGGTAGAGCCGTGCTCGCCATACCCCAAGACTTTCTGAAGCTCTGGCAGTCACAGTAGATCTGGAATTCCTCAAACGATGATTATCTGCCTGCACAAGACTTTCTAAATCTCTGACAGAAGCCGTAGCGCTGGCATTTCTTAAATGACGAATAGCGGTTATTTGAAGTTATTCCGAAACCTTGAAAGATGCTTTACTGCTAGCATTCCTAATACGATGCAAATGGTTTGTTCAAGGCTTTGTAAAGCTCTAGAACATGCTGTAGCACTAACATTCCTTAAACGCCGAAGGATTGTCTGTGTTGGGAACTCGGACGCCCTGGTCCTAGAAACGCGTATTGCGTCCTGTGAATTCTGTACTTAACGCTCTTCAGTTGAAAGTTTAGCGCGTTGTGATGATATAACGCATGCTACTGATGCCAGCCTTTCAGTCTGTTCAGTGGTATCTTCCGTGGAGATGCAGGCAGCAGAGTGTGGGGCCATCTGTAAAAGGCGCAACGAAGTTTGCTCTGTGGTTTCACTTGCCTTGCTGCTTTTGTAGCAGAGGCAGCAGCCGTGCGCTGTCCAAAAAGTTTTCTTCTCTTAGGCATCATTCTAACCAATTTTAAAAAGCAAACGTAATAAAAGGTATTTAGTTTTTTTTGAGAGCAAAAAATACGTGTAGTTTAAACGTAGGCTTCTTAGAGGGATCCCAAAAATGTATTTAATTGTATCAAAAGGGGATCTAAGTTAAAAAATTCAACTAAAGCTAAAATGGTAGTAGGTAATTTGGGAAGTAAATTTGATAAACGCGGAAACGGATATAGTTATAAATAAGATGTAAAAAAAAAAACAGTTTGGATACATAATCAACAACTTGCGGTTTCCGTAAAAAGTGGGCCAAGTGCGGTACTGTAATCGCAGAAGTGTGAACACGCGTGCGAGTTATGGTATAAAGAGGCAGTTGGTCGGTTGATCTTGAGCGCACATACTAAGGTGACGTACGTACGCACGTGCACACGCGTGCGTAAGAGAACTGCTCGCGCGTATGATTGGATGGGCCCAAGGTTAAATGCTTGCAACCGTGCCAGTGAGCTCGCAGCAATCTTGAACAGTTGACGCGATTGGCTAACCTCTAGCTGGGTGAGTCAAAGCAGTGCACAGTGGCGGATGACCATTCAAAATAGTATCTGGTGACTTTATTGTATCGGATTTTTTATTGACAAATATGAAAATTCTATAGTTCCTTATCCCAAAATACGGATTGCCTTTTTGATTTACGTCGTCACCGATGTAGCGCAATCGCACAAAGTCAGCCAATCAGAAAATGGGATTTTCAAGCTTCATTTTTCTTTGAAAAATTTAAGCAGCCAGGAGATATGAGATAGTTTTATTGATCAAAATTTGAAAATACAAACGTTTTTACACTTCTTACGAACAAAATTTGAAGCAATGTTAATTTTGTTTACTGATGGATGATGAAGACATTTAAGTAGCACGAATTTAGATGAAAACATGCGAGAACTTTTGGGGGCAGCGATGCACAGTAGTAAAATTATAGCGAGTAGGTGCCTTTTGCTGCACATAAAAGGCATGAAAATACATAACAGTCCTCCCGGTGTCCCCTTGAATGAAAAAATGCAATCAAATGTGAAAAATTGGATATATTGGACAATTGGTGGTGGGGTGCGCTTGGTGGTGGGCTTAAAAGTGGAGGCTTGAAGTGGCATGAAATGTGTTAGTGATTGCTCACTGAATTCAATCCTATACTTTAGTAAGCTAAATGGACACCTAAAAAGCAGAAGTTTCACCTTGTTTTTACTGATTTTTCTGGTAAAATTTGACATGTAGCTACCTGAAACCTCTACTCCATTTGGGATGCTTGATGAGCACATTGGTGACACCCACCCCCATTCACACATGATATTGCAAGACCCCAGAACATGAATGGGCCAATCAGCAGCAAGCATTACACATGGCGCGAGCCACGCATGACCAATAAAACTAATCTGATTGGCTTTTGTAGTGCAAAGTTTGGCTGCGACAGAAATCCTTCATTGTGATAACTTTTGCATCCAAAACCAAAATATGGCCATTCTTGTCCTTTCTTATTCCCATATAAGCACTTAAATCCAAACTTTTATCTAATTATACTACTGCTATTAATTCTTTGTGGCTTAATAAGTGAAAATGTGCACTAAGATAAGTAAAATGTATATTCTATAGTCACTTAGAAGTTGTAAGAATGTTCACTTGATCAAAAAAAAGATGATTGAGAAATGAATCTGCAATGTGTCAATGATCTTAATTCAGTTTATTCACATATTCTAATGAATTAATAAGATACAATTGTATACACATTCTAGACTCCAGTCTTGTGAAGATCTTAACCTTTGATCAGAACTCACTTTTTCTCTTTGCTCTGATGTTCTTGAAAATATATATAGAATTTTATTTTACTATAAAATTCTCGTTTTTTGCCCTCAAATTATTTATAAGTTTAAAAAATTCCAAAGAATTAAAATAAATGTATTTGAATTCTTTTTATGATAAATTTAGCAACTAATTTTATTTCCAAGAATGTGAATAATTTTTTACAATAAAATTCAACTTTTTACTGCATATTCAAGATTAGAGAATGAAAATGAACCCTAGTACATCTATTTAAAAAAGCAGACCCCCTGTCACAGGTAAAATTTAGTTTTAACAATCATTACTAAATAATATATAATTTAAAGTGCAATATCCTCAACAAAAAGGGATTTTATTGTAAAATCCAACACAACCATAATAGAATCCTTCTTTCAGTTCATTCATATTTTCTGGTTTTTCTTCTTGCACCACCAATAGCAACATTTCATTTTCCTGTTAATCTATCAGGAGCAGGAATGCTCAAATAGAACACTTACCGATAAGTAGAATTTATCATAGTATCCACTGTTTTGCAATGACAAAATGAAATTGGAAGTGTTGTGGCCAGAATACAATAGAGATATGGAGAAGTATATAAGCAAATGTGCTAAATCTTTTGTAAGGTTTATGTTTAATACTGGTTGACACTTTTTCTGCCTGGCTTGAAGTTTTCTGAGTTCAGGATAAAAAAATCTAGTGCTGTAAAACAAATATTTTGCATAATATTTGATAGAAATGGTGTACCAAAAACATTAGTAACTGATAAAGCTTCCAGATTCAATGACGATAGTCTGTGTTTGTGGTTAAGGAAGATTGGATGTGTTCCATATAAAACATCTCCTTACTACCCTCAATCAAATGAGATTGATGAACGAATGGTCCAAATGATAAAGATGTGATTTAAAGCATTTTCTTCTCAGCAAGAAAAGATTGAAACTTACCTACGAAAAAAATTGTTGAGTTACAGAACAATACCACATGATGACACATTAAAGAGCCTGTCTGCATAAATCTACAGTCAGATTAGAGCTACATTAACCATACCTTACTCTATTAATGAAAGCATATGGTACAAAAGAAATCAAGAAGACTTGCTGGGAAAGGTGAATTTCATAATGCAAAAAGGACCTACATGACATTAATTTTTCAGCTTTGGCTGGGAATCATTCTTGGCACTTTCCTTTGCTCCTCTTGAAAAATATATACAGAATTATAGTTTTCTAAATAATTATTGTACTTTTTCTAAAATTGATCTGCAAAAACTTCATTAATATTTAATAAATTTTCGATGAGTCCTTTTCTATATAAACTTAAGAAAATAATTCTATCTGGTAGAATGGAAATTAATTTTTAAATTAACATTTTAACTTTTTACTGCCTGTTCAGGGCAAGAGGATCGAGATGAACCCCTACACATTAACTGGGTATACAGTCCACTTGTTAAAAGTAATCCCCAGTTATATCAGTACTAAGTAAGTAAGGAAACAGAACCATGGCCTTGGATCACACACAAATTAATGGGTTAGGTTTATGACTAATACAGGTTGACAATTTTTCTTCCAAATCTATTACTGTAAAACAAATATTATGTGATTGAAAGCATTTTCTTCTCAGCAAGAAATGATTAAAAAATTTTACAAAGTTTATTGTTGAGTTACTGAACAATACCACATGCTGACAGATTAGGGAACCCATCTGCATAAATAGGCAGTTAGATCAGAGCTCCATTAACCATGTCTTACTCTATTAATAAAAACATATGGTACAAAAGAAATGAAGGAAACTTGCTGGGAAAGATGAATTTCAAAAGCAAAATGGATCCAACATGGCATTACTATGCAAGAATGGGAAAAATATTGTTGCCCATGCAGACCAGTTAAGACCTAGCCAAAATTATGATGAAGTACAAAACAAAGCTAGTTCAGAGGACTATATAGATGAACAAGAATGTAGGGCAGAATAATCAATGGATGATCAAATTGTTTTGGAAGATTCAGAGTACAAAACATCAAACACTGGGAATAAAAGAAATAGACCAAGACCCTCGATAATGAGAAATATTTGTGAAACCAGTGAGAGGGGGAGGGAATGTAGGGGAAGCTGTAGATCCAAACAGTGCATGAAAGCCAAAAGCTTCAAAGAGATGTAATGGATCGACAAGCTACTTTCACTGGTTCCCAGACTGCATGAATTTACGCGAGCATCTAGGCAGGCATCTCGGTACTATCCTTTCACTGTCGAAACAGTTAAATATAATTGTTTTTTCTACTCAAACAACTTCTTCTTTCACACTTCCCATCTGTGAAACTCCCTTCATCTTACTTGCTTCCCTGATAACTATAATCTTCAAATATCCACATGTAATATCAATTGACATCTTTTGATAATTTGATCTTGTTCCGTGTCCTTCTCTGTATCTGTTATGGGACCTTACTCATAATAACATAATGGACTATTCCATACGTAATAAATACTGCACCTCAAGAGGAAGCAGAGAGTTCCGCCTAAAGTCTTGAGTTCAGTCTGAAGTCTGTGGTGAGGTCCGTCAGGAGTCAGTCAGTCGAGTCAGATGCAGTCCGAAACAGAGTCGCGTTCAAGCAATTACTACTAAACCTGATTGTTCATACTAACACTTTTCTACTTTTCTGTATATATTCCTGTTTGTAATATATCTGTGTTATTCCATATCCATATTCGAGTTCTTCTTTATTGGTTCTACCTTGGACTATCACCATGGTACAAGAAACCGGACCATAACAGTATCCTTTCCTCAAACACGCTTCTTACTCTTGTTCTCAATCCTCTGTAATCCCTTGCATGCTAGTGGCACTCCTGTCTTGCTTGGGGTGAATTGCTTAAAAAAAAAAAAGAATTGGGTTAGTTAATATGTAATTAGCATAAAGAGAGTTATAACTCTAGCTCAACAGCAACATTAAGTCAGTGAACATAGTCTTTCTACTGCTACTGTTTGATCATCATAACAATATTATCTTTAGTAAAACTAATTTATCTATTTGATTGAATAATACATAACCTTTGCTCAATTTGAAAGATAAGTTTTATGATCAAATAGATTTTTATATATAAAATGCATCAAGATATTCTTCAGTGACATCATCATATTTACATAAGTTGATAGATGAGGAAGAAATAAATTTGCAATGAGTAAATTATATTCATTCATTTTATTCATTTATTCTGAAAAATGAAGAAGATATGAATGGATACAAATAATGGTGGCTTTTCTTTAGGAATATCAATATTTTATTTTGAATGATATTTTATTCAGAAAATCTTTTTTGTTTTCTCTTAATTTGTGAAATGTTTTATGAAAACAGGACAAGAGGATGGACCTGAATCTCACTATGCTGAAATATCAGACATTTTACCTGTGGAAGGTAATTTTCAGTTATATCAATTATGACTAAAATAATACATGCTTTATAGATTGTTATAAGAATGAATCTTTTCATTATTACTTTGTGAAATTGTCCATTAAGCTATGTAAAATCCATGGGTAAACATTAATTATAATGAAAAGTAGTTGTAGGTGTGTCAATTATACCAAAAGTCCCAGATGAGAGAAAAATAAAATTGTATTGATTAAATGATCCTAATTCTTTTTATTCACTTATTCTAGTGACTGAGGAAGATAATGTTGGTTACTAAATACAGACCCCATTCTTATGAAAGTTTTCAGCTTTGGCTGAAAATCATTTTTAACTGTAAAAAATGGAAATTAATTTTTAAATTAACATTTTAACATTTTACTGCCTGTTCAGGGTAAGAGGATGGATATGAACCCCTATATATTAACTGGATATACAGTCCACTTGTCAAAAGAAATCCCCAGTTTTATCAGTACTAAATAATATCTGATTCATAGATTCTTACAATACAGAGAAAACAGTGTCATTTCTTTGTTTGTTAGAATGAGTAACTGTAACCTGGGGAGGGTAAAATACATGCATAATCATTTGACACTCACTTATACTGATAATTAGACATTGCAATAGTGTCCACTTCAGCAAAAAGCCTAAATAATGAGTGAGAAAAGAATTTAAAATCAGTAAATGATAGTCATTCAACTTATTCACTTATTCTGATACATGAAGTAAATAACATTGGATATACAGAACAATATTTTATTCAAGAATCATCAATTTTTATGTGATTTTTAATGCAAAAATGTGAAGAAACTTTTACAGTAAAATTCTACATTTTACTCTATATTCAGGAGAAGAGAATGGAAATGAACCTCAATACATTGATTTAACAAGCGGATCACCTATCACAGGTAATATTCAGCTTTAATAATCATTATTAAAAATTATATTATTTACAGATTTTCATGATATAGATGAAACAATGTGTTTATTGTTCATTTGTGATTAAGAGTAACTATGCTCTAAGACATAAAATTCACTGGTAATGATACCACACTCTTTTATATGGATGATTAGAAGTTCTAAGAGTTTCTACTCAACTAAAATGTCCAGAAAGAAAATGAATGGAATTCATTTTATTCACATATTCTAGAAATGAATAGTAAGTTTCAGTTTTATCAGTCATGTCAAAATTATACATGCTTTACAGATTGTTATAATAAAAGAGAAAGATCTTGTTTTTCTTTCTTACTACAGGGTGTAGCATAATTACTGCTACAAAAAAGTTTATAACTGCTGAAAATATTATTATATCAGGCTACAATTTTAATACAACATAAGTATTAATCTGTTAAATAACACCAGAAAATGTCATTCGATATGGTTCCTTTTAGCCTTCAACACACATTGAATTCTTTCGAGGAAGTTATTGATGGTGGCATACACAGTTTCCATGGATATTTTGTCCTATACTCTCTTCAGTTTTGCCTTCAAATCTTCAATAATACATGCCTTATAGATTGTTATAAGAATGTATCTTTTCATTATTACTTTGTGAAATTGAGCCCTAATCTATGTAAAACCCATGGGTAAACATTCTACCCTTAATTATAATGAAAAGTAGTTGTAGGAGGGTCAATTATACCAAAAGTCCCAGATGAGAGAAAAATAAAATTGTATTGATTAAATGATCCTAATTCTTTTCATTCACTTACTCTAATGACTGAGGAAAATAATGTTGGTTACTAAATGCAAACTCCATTCTTATGAAAGTTTTCAGCTTTGGCTGAAAATCATTTTTAACTGTAAAAAATGGAAATTAATTTTTAAATTAACATTTTAACATTTTACTGCCTGTTCAGGGTAAGAGGATGGATATGAACCCCTATATATTAACTGGATATACAGTCCACTTGTCAAAAGAAATCCCCAGTTTTATCAGTACTAAATCATATCTAATTCAAAAATTCTTACAATACAGAGAAAACAATGTCATTTCTTTGTTTGTTACAATGCGCAACTGTAACCTGGGGAGGGTAAAATACATGGATAATCATTTGACACTCACTTATACTGATAATTAGACATTGCAATAGTGTCCACTTCAAAAAAAGCCTAAATAATGAATGTGAAATGAATTTAAAATCAGTAAATGATTGTCATTCAAATATTCACTTATTCTGATACATCAAGTAAATAACATTGGGTATACAATATAATATTTTATTCAAAAATCATCAATTTTTATGTGATTTTTAATGCAAGAATGTGAATAAACTTTTACAGTAAAATTCTACATTTTACTCTATATTCAGGAGAAGAGAATGGAAATGAACCTCAATACATTGATTTAATAAGCGGATCACCTATCACAGGTAATACTTAGTTTTAATAATCATTATTAAATAATATGTTATTTATACATTTTCATAATATAGATGAACAATGTGTTTATTGTTCATTTGTGATTAAGAGTAACTATGCTCTAAGGCATATAAAATTCACTGGTAATGATTTCACACTCTTTTATATGGATGATTAGAAGTTCTAAGAGTTTCTACTCAACTAAAATGTCCAGAAAGAAAATGAGTGGAATTCATTTTATTCACATATTCTAGAAGTGAATAGTAAGCTTCAGTTTTATCAATCATGTCAAAATTATACATTCTTTACAGATTGTTATAATACAGGAAAAAGATCTTGTTTTTCTTTCTTACTACAGGCTGTAGCATAAATATTGCTACAAAAAAAACTCATAACTCTTGTAAATATTATTATATCAGGCTACAATTTTAATACAAAATAAGTATTAATCTGTTAAATAACACCAGAAAATGCCATTCGATATGGTTCCTTTTAGCCTTCACCATATGTTGAATTCTTTCGAGGAAGTTATTGATGGTGGCGTACACAGTTTCCATGGATATTTTGTCCTATAATCTCTTCAATTTTGCCATCAAAGCTTCAATATTGTGGTGTGGAATAGAACAGGCCTCACCTTGAAGAATTGTCCATAATAATAGTCAAAAACATTGATCCAACATCCTTAGCCAATTTTCTCATTGACCTTCATGAATTACACCTGATTTTTTTACATACCTGTTTAACAAGTTTTGAAAGTGCAAGGACATCCTAGTCTTGGTCTATCTTAGATGGAGGAAGCCTTATTATATCACCTGCGTTACCTTTTGATAAACATTCTATTGATTACAAGTTGTTTTCCAGCTTTAAAAATTTGAAGTTAGTCCATTTTCATGTTGCTCATTTATATACTTTCTTTTAATTTCTATAGACAGCGTTATCAGTAAATAATAAAACACTTTGAAAAAGCAAATAGTATATATTGTTGGGTGAATAGCAAACTATAAACAACAATGTAATGACCAAAGATTTAGAAGTAGAATTCATTTGAAATTTTATACCAGCATTTATGCTACACCATGTTTGTATAATCATGCATTAAGATAAGTGACTATTTAACATCCAATTATAATGAAAGAATAATTGTGACAATATTCATCTCCTCAAAAAGTCCAGATGAGAGAGAAATGAATTTCATATTAGTAAATGATCCTAATTCAATTTATTCATTTTGCAAAACCAATAAAAATTTTATTTATAAGAATGGGAATAAATTTTTATACTACTATTCTTTTTTTTATTGCATGTCCAGGGCAGCAATATGGAGAAGAACCACACTACATATCTATGACAAATAGACAGCCAATCAAAGGTAATCCAATCTCCAGGTTTATTGCTAATTACTTAATAATATGAGCTTTATAGATTCACTTAATATAAAGGAAACATTTAGTTGTTTTTTTTGTAACTCAAAGTTTCCACTAAGATGTGTAAAATTCATGTCTAACCATTCTACATTTACTGATCCTGATTTTTCGAAAGTATAGGTATCTACTTTAATCGGAAGAAAGTTTTACAATGACATTTTTCTTTTTACTTCAAATTCAGGGAAAGAATATCGAAATGAACCACAGTACATTAACGCAACAAATATACAAGTGGTCAAAGGTAATATCCTATTTTTTTTAAATGGTCTTCGTGGCATCTCACTATCTGACCATCATCCAATGATGTAGGATACTAGCCCAGTGAATTAAACTATGGCAACTGGTAGCCAGGACTCTCTGATAATATTGAATGTTGTATAACCATTTTTTTTAAATTTGTGTTCAAAATGTTTAAACATTTCATTAATCCCCACACCCAAATTATGAAAACACTGACTATAAATAGATTTTACCAAAAATTTGGTAAAACAAATATATGAATACACTTTTATAAATGTTTTACTGTATCTTCAGGGAAAGTTAATGGAAATGAACCTGTTTACATGAATGTTGCAGACAGATCACCTGTCAAAGGTAATCCCTATTTTATCTATCATTACTAAGTAATATATGTTTTCAAGATTCTCAGAAGACACATATATATTTCTTAATGGGTTAATAAGTGTAAATGTGCCCTAAGATAAGTAAAATGTATGCATAACTATTCTACAGTCACTTATAGTAAATAATTAGAAGTTGTAAGTATGTCCACTTTATCAAAAAACAAAGATAATTGAGAAATCAATCTGCAATGTGTCAATGATCTTAATTCAGTTTATTCACATATTCTAATGAATGAATAAGATACATTTGTATACACAATATAAACTCTAATCTTGTGAAGATCTTAACCTTTGATTAGAAATCACTTTTTCTCTTTATTCTGATTTTCTTAAAAATATATAGAGAATGTTATTTTATCAAAAAATTCTTGTTTTTTTGCTCTCAAATTATTTATATGTTTAATAAAAATTTCAAACAATTAAAAATAAATGTTTTTGAATTCTTTTTATGATATATTTAGAAAATTATTTTATTTTCAAGAATATGAATAAATTTTTTCAATAACATTCAACTTTTTATTGCAGGAAAAGGGAACAAAAATGAATCCCAGTACACTTGTTTAACAAGCAGACCTCCTGTCACAGGTAACACTCAGTTTTAACAATCATTTCTAAATAATATCTTGTTTAATATATAATATTCTCAACAAAAATTATAATAGAGTCCTTCTTCCAGCTGACTGACATTTTCAATTTGTCTTCCTTAACATTACATCACTAGTTGTCACTGGTGATTTAATGTCAAGAATTTTTTTTTTAATTTCATAATATACATCTGTTGGATGCATCATCAGTGTTGTTTCTAGCTGAGGTTCATTAGGGGTTTCAGGCCTTTCAACATCATATCCCCTCTCCACATTGACCCATTAAAAATATCTTTCTGAATAGATGATTTTAAAATGGTTTTTGAGGATTTGAAGTTCCATTTTAGTAACAACATATTTTTGTTTCTTTTTTGTATTTTGGTCATCTGGATTATAAAGACTTGGGGAATTAACTGCAGATCTTTCAAGGCATTTATTTTCCTTTTAATACATACACCTATGTATTTATATAACTTATACAAAGAGTTCCTGCTGCATGATTTATCAGAAGGAAAGCTAAGTTAATATGCTTACACTGATAATTAGAATTTATAATAGCGTCCATTTCATGCAGAATTCCAAATGAGGGAGAAATTAATTTGTAATGATGGAATGATTCTAATTATGCTTATTAACTTCTTCTGGTATCTGAAGAAGATAATGCTGGATACAAATTGCAGACTTATGAAGAATTTAGGTTTAGCTTTGAACTCATTGTTTCTTCTGCATGTTGCATTTAATTTTTCAAGTCTTTTAATTTATTTATAAAAGTACATATAAAATGCTCCATTTTGATTAGTCCTTTCTTCTTTGCTTCCAAATATTAAATCTGTTTGGAACTTTAAATAATTTTTTACCAACATTGATTGACTATAAATGTTATGTTTTATTTTACTTCATGAAATATTTTATTTATATTTTCAATTGAATATAATTGAAATAAATAACAACTTTCAATTTTCTGAAGCAAGCAATTTCTTTAAATTGTAATTCATTATTCAATGCAAATATAATTTCTTGGTTATATCAGTTTCAAGAAATATCTATTTGTTAAGAATTCAGTGTTTTAAATTTGTAATTGAATTTCTCAGAAAAAATTAAATAAACCTTTAGGAAGTTTGTAAAATCAAAATGTCAAGTTTTTCTCCCATTCATGCCATAGAAGCAGTTAAATCCAGTATCAATCTATTTGCCTATTATCAATATCATGCCACTGAAACATGTAGGGTAAATGGTATGATAATTGGCAAGTAATGCCACATGTTTCATTCTGTACAACAGAACCAAACTAGAAACATCTCATCTAAAACAAATTCTGTTAGTTATGAAATGATAAAATGCTTTGTATCATAAGACCAAAAAATCTGAATCTGTTTATAAGTAAAAAATATTAAAAGAAATATTTTGTCTTTTCAGAAATGAATGATGAGTAAAGTTTAGATTATGAAGAATATTAATTGAATAGAGGAATTTAATATCAATTGGCATTTTCTTTTCTCTTCATATTTTATTCATGTAAACTTTAACTTTTTGCAGTGAATGTTTCTTGATTGATATAGGATAGTTTAAAATTTATATGAAATTTAATCTTTTTGTCTGTATATATCATGTAATATAATAAATGAGTATTGATAATGAATATTTTATCCCTAGATTATAATTGATAAATGAATAGAATGAAATTTAATCCAAAGAATTTGCTTTATTAAAGAATATCTGAGTAGAAAATGATTTTAAAATGCTTTTTTATGATTTGTAGTTCAATTTTAGTAAAGACATATTTTTGTTTCTTTTTCATTTAGGTCATCTGGATTATGAAAAATTGGAGAATTAAATCCACATCTTTGAAGAGATTTATTTTCGTTTTAATACACATATTCATATATCAACTATATATATAAAGGGCTTCTGAAAAAGTTCCAGACCAATTCCTCTTCTCAAAAACTACATTTTAACAAATAATTATCAGAAAACTAAATTTGGTTCAAGCCAAGAAATTTTCATTAACTGTGTGTGTGTGTGTGTATGTGTCTGTATATCTGTATATCTATCTATCTATCTATCTATCTATCTATTACATGTTCATTAAAAAGATGTCAAATTACAAAATACATTTTTTCCAAGTGATGGTGAATGGATGAAACCAAGAAGAATGTATTACATGAAAGAATAAAAAAAATAAAAACAGAAACAAGAACAAATTATATTACGGCCTGTATTTCATTAGAACTAAGGGAAAAAACCTTTAGATATATGTATATATACATAAATATTGACGGTGTGTTCCGATATAATGTCGGCTTCAACACAAATGTAAGGGGAGTAACTCTGCAAAAGTATTTTTTTATATACAGAGTTTCTTCCCTTAGAACGAGCAGGGTTCTTGTGAGTTTATGCAAATTGACTTTACATTAATAAATCTTACTTATTATAAAACGCAGTTTGTGTATATGTGTGTCTGTAACGTTTATATATTGGATCGGATTTCCTACATTTTTTAGCCGATTTCAACAAAACTTCACAGGACTACATAAAATTATCTTGTGGTGGTTGTAACAGCACCGAAATTGGGAAAATACAATTGTTTTTTAACAAAATCAATTTGAAAACACGATTAATACACACCGTGAGAATGAAAGGGGGACAACTCACATCGTGTTAAAAACCCACGTTTGTGTGTGTGTGTGTGTGTGTGTGTGTGTGTGTGTGTGTGTGTGTGTTCCTTTATATATGGGATCGGATTTCTTACATTTTTCAGCCGATAAAACAAACATTAACTTTTTTTTTTTTTGGTAGGTAGTGTTTCTTATTGTCTTGCACACTTTTTTTCTTGATTTATACATTCAGAATGCTTTAAAAATTCCATTTACAAGACAATTGTTTTTAATAAAATTCTATTCAATCCGGAGACTCATCATAACGATTGAAAACAATGTTCTTGTTTGAGTTTGGGTTTGACCAATTCATAAAAAAAAAAATAAATAAATAAATAAAAAACTAAGATATGCGTGTCCGTCAACCTAAACAATAATCTAACGATCTCTACTGATTGTACGAATCGAAACATCGGATAATTTTTTATCTTTAGGAAAAGATAATTCCACGTACTTTAGGGCCGTTTTTACAATTCCCTTTGCAATCTGTTACAAGGCAGATCAATAAGGCATTGATTCTATTTGAAATTAATTCAATATTTAAAAGAAAGTATTAAGAAATAATTTAAAAATGCTGACGTAAGAAATCTGATAAACAAAAAACAACAATATTTCGAAGATGATTATTATAAAGGAAAGAACACAGTACTTACCTTGTAATAAATTAATAACCCCAAATAAAGTTAATATTTTTTGTATTAGAAACAAGGATTGGAAAATATATTCAAATCAGAATTCTATTTATGAATCACCACAAGCAAAATATGCAATTTTTTTTTTTACTGTATTCAATAAGTAAAAATCATAAATTGTAAAACTAAAAGATTACAGAAAGGCTACCTACATTTTTCAACCGATTTCAACAAAACATCATTTTTGGGGCAGGTAGTGTTTCTTATTGTCTTGTACACTTTTTTTCTTTATTTTTACATTCAGAATGCTTTGAAAATTCCATTTACAAGACAATTGTTTATAATAAAATTCTATTCATTAATCGATAGACTCATAACGATTGTAAACAATGTTTTTATTTGAGTTTGGGTTTGACCAATTTAAAAAAAAAAAAAAAAAAAAAACTAATTAAGACATGCGTGTCCGTCAACCTTAAACAATAATCTTTGTCAATTTTATTTTTCAGTCTTTATGATGGTCGATACTTTATCTATCTCTTACTGTTACATCCCCGGGCAATGCCGGGCTCATACTGCTAGTCTTAAATATAATTTAGCATTTGACAATCATATACTCAGAAAAAGATGCAAATTTATAAAATACATTGTTATATTTTCCGAGTGAAGTGGTTCTAATTTTCCATAAGAGATGTTTCAAATGGTGTGAATAAAGTTTGGAAAGAAACATTAAGTAGTGTAAACCGAAGCGAAGGTGCTGAAAAATGACTGAACGGATTTTTTTAAGTATAGAATAAATTTTAAATTGCAGTTGAAAAAAGAAACCATCGTTCAAATTTCATCTTAGAACTTTATTCAATATTTATAAAAATAAAGAAAAAACAATCAAACAATATTATAAAAACGTTTTATTCCGTTAGAGTTACTATGGCGATCATCATCACACACACATAAACTCTTACAAATTTAAACTTCCAACAGCATTCATTCATTGGACAGGAAGCAACGCTGCTATCTGATGCAACAATTTTGAAATCACTATATTTTCATATGGTAGATTTTGTTCACTTTTGTGAAAATCGGCTCCCAGAAGTCTCCCCAATTTTCATGCACTGATTGGTCAGTATCGACCAATCAGATTCCCTGCATGTGGAAAATGATTCTTCCCGCGCAACATTCCTGATCTTACTCATTGCATGTTTTTCGTACACATACTTTATTGTATGCATTGTTGAATACAATTTTTATATATATTGATACGTTTGCCGTGTCCCTTTCTTTACATCAGTTTGGTTTCCTAATCAAAATTAAATAAATGTAGTGGAAGTCGGCCACATTTCGATACCAGTTGAAATTAACAGAATAATTTTTCATAATTAGACGAAGAAAAGAAAAACAGAGTTCATTTTATAATCCTACATCTTTAAACAAATAAATAAAGAACAAACAATAAATTAAATACATTAAAAATCTGATTTTACTTTTAACGCTTATTTCATAAAGTTACACTGTATTGACATAGAATATTTTTTATTACATAAGAAAGAGACAAAGCTTATACTTTTACCTTAGAATAAACTTTATTTTCTAAAAGAATATTTTATTTGTTGCTAAGGTTAAAGTAAATTGTGTACGTTTCATTAATGTCTGTAAAATTTGTTCTCCTTAATGGTGTTGATAGAAGGCCTGTTCGATGGGTGGAGCTTATATGCTGACATCACTATATGTAAGATGAACTCGGAGAAATACTTTCATTAGATTTTCTCGACTCGGTTTGATTTTTTATTTTTATAACAATAAATATCGCGGTGGTGTCCGTAAATTAATTTATATCAAGGGAAGACACTATACCTTTGATCAATACTTTTACAGCTTATAAATATTTGAGTTACTTCTCTTTGATTTATGGCATTGCAGTGAAGAAATTGCGTGAAAACTCGTTAGATCTCTCTTAATATTGAGGACTTTAGTCCTAATAACGTTTATATCGTAACATTTTTTTTACCATCACTTATCATTATTCATTCAATTTAGTAATTTTACATTAATTCACTTTCAATTCCTTTCAATGTCCCGTTTATTCAGTTTAATTCTTTCATTTTCATATTTACTCAATTTCATTTTTTTTCATAAGTATTCCGTTTATTTTCCGTTTAATTTTTCTCATGTATTCACTTTATTCCTTTTATATTTTCCATTCATTTATTTCATTCCTTTTATTTTTCAATCTTCACCATTCAACCTCGCCTTCACGTGTATTTAGAGGACACAAAAATTGAAATCAAACATGTATATGTATTTACAATAGAAATATGAATATAAAAGAACATTCTTAATTTCCCAGCATGTAACAAACTTTTCTCCTTTTCAAAATTAATGCTCATATCTGAACTGCAGTTATTCATTAATTATTTTTCCTATTGCTAATTCATTCATTCCCTTCTTTCATTGTCCTTGTAGTGATTACTACTATGTTTGCCACGCCTACATTTTTCTCAACTGTGATTGGTCAAATAATAAATACTAATTATCACAGGACAATTTACTGATCGCATTCACCACACTGAATTTTTCCCACCGTTAATTCACAAACATGCTTTTGTTATAAAATCACCTATTGGTTAATTTTTCATCCAATCAGATATTTTTCGAGTTCTTTCAAAATTTATCCCGCGTTCATGCTGGGAGCCTACCGGTAATAATATAAGTCCGGATTCATTCCCAAATTAAACAGTAGAGTTGAAGACAGTTGAAGACAGTAGAACTCAACTACTCACACGTGTCTACACAGACTATTCATTCTTCTCACTCCGCACACACACACACACACACACACACACACACACACACACACACACACACACACACACAGAACTTGAATATCATTCATCATCAGTTCTTTGTGAACAAGCCAAGTTGCAACAGCTCTGTTAGTTATACAAAATATACAATTGAAGTTACGGTAGGTTCTTCTGAATACACATTGTATTTCAATTCAGAACTTTGAACATTCTATTCAGAAAACTTGCGTAATTACAGTTCCTTATTCAACTAACAGATAAAGGGAAACTACTTTTTTCTTCTTTATTATTCACACATTACAAAAATTGCTTTGTATTTGTTGATTTTAATATATATTTTATCGTTGAAACACAAATTATTTTTCCATTGTTTTTCCTTGATTTAAAAAAATGTATAAATGTTAAATGATCTTCAACACGCAGTCACATTAATCTTTTCAACAAAACACCATTTACATTGGTAACCCCAACGTTTAAGGAAAATAACATTTACACCCTTTTAGGTACCTCCACTTTTTCACTAAAAAAGAGCATACCATGATAAAAAAAGGTCCCAAGGCTGATGAAAACAAAGATTTATTGTCAAAATATTTATGCGATTATTCAATGGAAAGACTAAAGTATCTTTCAATTGTTTTATTAAATTTTTGAATCTTTTCTGGCACATTCAAAAGTTTGGTTAGAAATCTTGTTTTTTTGCATCAGCCAGGCAGCAAAGATTGTTATTAGGAAATTTAGCGTCTTTTTTCT